AAAATTCACCAACAAAAAAAAAGAAATAGATTTATAATATTTTTAATAATAGAAATGAAGATGGATAAGTTTCTTTTTCCATCATATCAAATTGTAAACGAGCAATTAAAGATAATATTCTTTGAGAAGAATTAAATTGAAGTTTCATTTGTTTTCTTCTTTTATTTAATAATTTAATAGATTTATAAACTGAATGATATAATTGATGATATAATGGTTGTAAGTCATTCATTAATGCAAGAGGTAATGCAGACATATTTGAATGAGATATTTTAGGTTGATTAGAAATAGAGATATTTGAAGGAGTTAAAATTTGAGGATATATAAATTCATTATTTAAATTGTTTGTTTGATTAATATCTTGAAAAGTTTCTAAAGGGGTGTCAGAAAGTAATATTTCATTTTTTAAACATTTTTCAGATAATTCTTTTCTTCTAGAAGAATATTTTAATAAATTCTTCTTTGGTTTTTTTTCTTTGTTTGAATTTTCTTTGTTGTCTATATTTTCAAAAGAGGATTTTAATTTCCATAATCCAATACGTTTTTTTGTTGGTCCACTTTCAAATTGACCACTATGATTCATAGCATCTAATAATGCTTTTTTCCATGACTTTCCATTTTTAACTAGATAAATTGATTATTTTGAAATTTAAAGACATTTACTTCTTTTGATTCTAAAAATTTAAATTTCATTATAAATAATATAAAACAAACACTGTGTTAATTCTCCTAAAATATTCCAATGTTCTATTACAAATGGATAAATATCATCATGGGCTGAATAATATTGTTTTTCATTTATAAATGCTAATGCTTTTAGAATATACTTACAAATAATTGTCCATGGAACTCTTTTCTTTCCAATAATTTTTTCTTTATTCAAACATAAATAACATTTACACTCATTTTTACTTGGTGTTATACTTTGTTCTTTAGACATGAAAGAATAATTGGTATTAAGAGTTTGTTTTGATAGTTTTATTGAACTAAGTAATTAGTTTTCCATTATTCATCTTTTTTTTTCCAATTTTATTTTAATTGAATTAAATTTACTTATTATTCCCGATTTATTCAATATTTTTTATACGAGAAATAAGCAGTTTTTCTATTATTTCATAAGTAAAGTTTTTTTTAGTAATTTGAAAAAGAAGAGTTAATTAAGTTCTTTAATAACAAATTTGAACCTCAATTTCAAAGTTAATTTCATATTTATAATATTATTACTTTATTATTTAATTTAAAATATTTCTCTATTTTATTTTTTTTTTTTAATTTAATTTAATTAAACACAATTTTCAAATAACATCTTTAAACCATTAAATAAATGATAATAAATATTTAAATTATAATTGTATATTTTTCACAAAGACTAAATTATTTAACAAAAGATGTGAGTGATTTTTTCATCTCGAAGTTTTATTTTTATTTGTGAATTATCTTTAAATGCGTGACAAAGATAATCATTTACAGCTTTTCCTTTTTTTTCAATATCTTTTTTACTGTACTTCATTTTATTGTTATAATATACTGAATGAACTGTTT